ACCGAATCACTACGCAGGGTTGATAAACGGCCTGTTCAGACACTTGCAAATATGCCACGATCCGTGAGTATATTATACAGAAAAATTAAACCGATCTTATCGGTTCAACTCAGCATCAGTTATGCATATTGATACTGCATATACGCCACTGAAGCATACCTGTTGTTCATATGGTCTCGAAAAAATTGTAGAAAAGAGTTCGATAACTGAATGACGCCAGCCAGCATCAAAGAAGGACTGGAAAAAAACTAAAGAAGATTTTGTTCCTGTTTAAAGAATACGTGACTCTGCGACCGACTAAAGTCAATTTATTTACGCTTGAATAGGTGTCAAGCAATTGGTCTTGGGTCTTGGAGTGTTGATCGTTACTTCGAAGAACTGACTCTGTAAAATGAATCCGGGAGTAAACAAGGCATAAGACATATACGTGAAGAGTGACAATGTTCCTTTCTTGAATATAACCCTGTAGGTGGGGAACGAAAGCCTTTGACCAGGGCAAGTTCCCTGCGTTGATGTACGGATGCCCAACATTGACCTTACATAATAAAGCTGTTCACAAATCACAGAGTACACAAAAGAGATGGACAGGTGTATGCTGAGGACCACAAGAAGAAATAAGAATAAAAATGATTGGGCAGGAATAACCATACACAAATGTAGGAATTCAAATTTCGTCATGTGTTTTTCTAGTTGGGTAATCCTGGAACGGTGCGGCTGGTTATAGAGTTGTACGTTACAACAGAGTCAGAAAGGTGGAGACCCGCAACGACGAACGCTGAACTGTAAGGCTTGCGGAAAAACTGCAATACTCTGACAGCAGCCCTCCATACCTAGCTGACGAACGAGTAACGTCTTTAAGTGTCTGTCAGGCATCAGACGAAAACTTTTGTCGACCTCGATTGTTCATTCACAATCGACATCCATATGGCTGCGTTACAAGCATCCTGTCACTCACAAACTGTACTCACCTCAACAAGTGGGTAGACAATTTCGTAGTAGATGGTCTCGGTGGTGGCTTGACTGTCGTAGGCGCCATCGAAAGTGAACAGTTTCGGCAGCGAGGCGCGATCGTTGGGGTTGACGATGACGCACTGGGCGCGACCCTGGTCGATGTCCACCACCGTGTCGCAGCCCATGTTCACTTCCCTTTGGTTCAGCGGCCTCGTTCGAACCACTACCCTCACGCATTCAGCGAGTGACATGAGTGGAAAACTGAGGCCAGTTCATTAAGCCGTTCACGAAACGAACAGCTTTCGTCAAAGGACTGACTGCCCGCCGACCTTCATGCGGCCAATCGAGCTGAATGAAGCTCTGAACAAGATACGCTTCAAGAACAGCTCTATTTGCGACTGCTGGTTGCTTGGCAACACGGAAATTATTTGTCAGGTAAGTATACTACTCGTCCGATCAATAAAGCGGTGTCTCCGACTAAATATTTTTAGAACCTATGAATTAGCGCTCGAACTGTGCTAATCTGATGGTTGGCATTTTTACCGTTTACGATTTTTGTCTCTTTCATTTTCTAAACTGAATTATATTTAAACGTAACCACGTGTCGATGCGCATTGCAACACTTTGCCAAATATGCCGTCTGTATAACTGACCAGTGGTCTGAACGTAAAATTGAAGTCTGATTTCGAACAATTACCGCGACCCGAAAGGAGAAGCGGCGATGGAAGATGAAAATGAAGATTCGAACAGTTATAGACACGTAGTAATTTGCTAATTGGATGGTCTTAAGTGACGGTTCTCACTATATTAAAATGATGTCAGAAGCCTCCTCTAGTCATCCATAGACCAAATAATTTCCAAGACTCATACCGGGACCGTACCGTAGATGACTTGAATGTGATAGGTCTTTTGATTCAATGGTTGGCAACACGAGACAAAATATTCTCGTGTTGCCAACCATGAAGTCACAGCTATTTCCTGCATCTACGGGCCATTCGGTAAATTTGAAAATTTTGATTGAAGGTACTTCCTAATTCATGAATGTTTGGTCTGTTCTGAAGACTGCATGTTTTTCGCGGAGTTACTCTGCATATAGATTTTATTATAAAAATTACCGTTGTTTTGAGCAATACTCGGCAGCGTCGTCAACGAAAGTAAGGAAATGTCATTGGAATGTCGCTCTTCCTAACACTTACAAAATAGAACCAATTCTATCAATCTTCTTTATTGAGCTTATACCATGGGCGCTCATCTCCATTTACATCTAATCAGCTAGAAGTGTCTCGATTTTTTGATGTAGGATCGACAGCAGCTTCGCCACAAACATTTTCTGTATTCTTTGGCTTCTTTCCCACTCATTTGTCAGAGTGATACAAATTTATAAACCTCGGAAGGAAGAAAAGCGATTGATCCACACCGGGGCTCAAACCTATGACCTCTCGGTTCTGAGTTCAACACTCCACGGACTGGGTAACCCCGGTTTGAAGCAATGACTGGTGACTATTTTGCTGAACACATTTCGTTATAAAGACAAGAATTGCTTTTATGGGAATCGAATTCAGTACCTCCAAAGTTATGATAGTTGGAGCACTCGATGCCCTGGCCCCTTTAAAAATGGATAAAGTCAAACCGCGCTTAAATTTTCGTTAAAGAGATCTGTCGACCGTTGATCTTGATTATCTCGTTCGCGAACTTGTTTAGGATTCACGACAAATCTTTCAGGGCAAGCCAATATTCTTCTTCAGTAAGATGTCAAACTAGGAACTGAAGGTCGCGATTCGAGCCCTAATCGGATCATTCGTTTTTGCAATTTTCAAGCCCATTTCGTGTGTGTGTGTGGGGGGGGGGTCAAGACGGTATGTGTGGCAGTACTCAATGATCTGTAGTTATAGCTTTGGAAGAATTATAGCAAGAATCAAGTGTTTATTGCTGATGCCATGTAAAAGAAAATTAGCTCACACAATTGTCTACACTATTCTCACTTCAGCAAAGAAATTATGTTATGAAAACATCGTTAATGCTCAACGCATATTTCGTGAGTTAACATTTCTCGGCTGATAGAAAATTTTTCCAGGAAAGTATTTTACATATCCGTCATTTTCAATCTTTAACGAAATGAAGTATACAGCAAGAATTTGTCAGGAAGACTGAACGATTTTTTTCAATGAAGACTTTGAGAGAATTAAGCATGGATTTCTAAAAAAAGTTTTCATTTCAGTCTAACCACGAAGCGTAGCGTCACTCCGAAATTTTTCCAGACGCTTGCTTTCACCATCTTCGCCCTTTCTGACCATATCGCAATTGATGAATCTTTGTTATGTGCTGATACCCAGGCAAGAATTTTGCACTTTGGATAAGGTTATTCAGCCGTTTGATCAATCTACCATGCAAGTTCACGTTTTTCCATTCAGCGGGTACGATGTCACACTGCCATCTTTATAACTGTGATCATTCCCGGTGCTCTTCAGCAAGTAACTGAATTGATTTCAAATCAGAAAATTCGAAGCGGCGAGATTGAATATCCGTGAAAAATTCTTTGTCTGATTTTCACCGATCCCACCGATCCATTTGCTACATCCCTTCTGTGAAGAACTTTATTATCTATCGTTGAAGTAGTGAAATTCCAGACTTTCCAGAATTCAGCCGCGTAGTATTAGATCGAAAGCATTCCCACGCTTAATCCAGGGAGTGGTTCTGTTGCGCCTTCTCATTTAGCAACCCCGCTTCAGTGTCTTTTCCATGTATAATTGGCCTTTACGTTTCCCTGGCTTTGTTCGGCAGCTTTTTTAAAAAAGAAATATTACGTTATGTGTCTCGAGATGCTCATAAACTACAATGATTAATGTAAACCTATCAAGAGTTATCAGGTCGTTTGGAGACCTATGGCTGGTCATATTATCGTAACTTCTGTTCCGCTACTTCATAGACGTGCCACCTTTCCAGTTGACCAAGAAAGTGGTCTTTCTTCCAGCACTCTCTGGAAATATATTGCAATTTTTGAGCGCAAATACGTTAGCCGCTTAGGTCAGAAAACATGCACCTGATAGGCGCCTGGCGCTGATCAGTTTTTCATTTTTATAAGCGGTTTGCTCAAAGTTCTTTTTAGTGATTGTGACCTCTCATGTTCGGAGATTTCATTTACACTATCTATATGTCTTTTACCCAGTGAGCTTCTTTAGTTTCGGTTTTATTCATTACCCAATGTCCTTTTCCAGATCTGAAACGATTCTTAGACGCTAAAATCAACGGTCTCGCATTAACTGCGGATTTGTTATTAGCCGCCAGTTTTTATTTAAGGCTTCAGCATTCTGAACGAAAGTCTTGTTATGTTTGCATCACTTTTACTGGAATGCAAAAGTCTTCGCCGATACAGCCATAATCCTCTTCTGGGAGTCTTCTCACGCAGCTCTGATTCTTTTGTCTGACCCAACCCTGTACTCATTGATTATATCTGTGGTTGACACATTTGTAGTGCGCTTTTCAGCTGTTGTAGTTGATTTACTTATCGGCATATTTATTTTTGGTGGCTACTGATTCTTCTTAATGGTTCTACTCATTTCTACACAAACGTCATTCGTTTTCAGCCTAGCTCTGATGATGCCACGGTCTGTGGGATGAAACACGCGGGCGATGGAAACAAGGGTTTAGCCATCTGTTGCATTTAGTACCCTGAAACAGAATAATTCAACCCTCTATCTATATAAATATGGAGCAAATATCAGAAACCTTAAATCTCATTTACATTAGTTATTCGATTTATACATGGCCAGACTTAGACGAAATTTTCCACCACCACCTCCGTATTTTAGATGATTAGGAGCGCGAATTACTTTTGAATTTGAAGCAAGATGCCGTGAACTTGCAAGAATAGAAGTTGACGAGCTACCCGTCGGTTTGGACAATCTTGCAACAGTCATCCACTACTGGACGACGAGTTCTAATTGATTTCGGAATTATGACCTGCATTTGAAAAGGGAATAACGGTATCAATATTTCACCAACATCTGAAGTGTAACAACATTGCATATGAAGATTCGTAAGAGCTTGGATATGCAAATTTTTGTTAATAATTTTTACAGAGTAGAAAGCATGAAAAATTTGTGGTGTAAATTTGCTAGCATATGTTGACCTCGTTTTGTGTTTGCTCTAATTTGAACGCTCAAAAACTCCAATTTTTTACTTATACTAATTTACTTGCATTCAACAGTATCACGCGAATAGTCAAAATGCCATGCTCTGCGAAATAAAGTTGTTATCTTTTGCTTTTCTCGAAAAT